CGTAAGCAGTGGGCAGATGTCGCCAGGCCCCGCCCCCACTCATCCGCACATCGTCATAGCCGAGCAGCCCGGTCATGCTGCCGGACACGTATAACCGCCCGATGAGCCGGTTTGTGTACCGGAAGGTGGACGACCGAAGAGGGTCGAAGGTTCTGTGTGTCACTGCAGACGGAGAGCAGGGGTCAGTCAGCTGCCAGACCCCGGGGGTGGGGGGGTAGGGGATGCGGGGCGGGAGCCGCAACAGGGCGCGGACACTCACCACAGGCGGGACTGAAGCAGTAGATGGAGGGCACCCACAAGTCAGCCTAGCCCGTGTCAAAGATGACCTTGAACTTCTGAGGGGGCGTTCCAATGCTGATGGTGCCAACGTAGTTCATCTGTCGGCGGGGGAGGGGCGTTAGGCCAGGCAAAAAAAACTGGGTGGACCCCAGTGCTCGGCCAGCACTAGGGAAGGCTGTGCACTGCGCCCGCCACACTCACGTCCAGGTAGTTCCTCAAGGACTGGACAGTGACGCGCGGCTGGCGCAGGAGCTTGTAGGCCTGGCTGTAGGGGTGCCGCTGGAGGTAGTCTCTCAGCAGGTCCCTCTCCCGCAGGCTCTCCCGCATGGACTTGATCTTCGTCAGAGGGACGCTTTCAGCGGGAAAAGACAAGAAATAAGACAGCAGCTCCCCACCTGCTGTTCAATGTGGCTGCCACACTTGGTCGGTGTGGCTCAGTGGATAGATCATCCGCCTGCGGACCAAAGGGTCCGGAGTTGGATTCAGGTCAAGGGCACATACCTCGGTTGCAGGCTCCTACCCGGCCCAGTTCCTGGTGGGGGCTCGTGCAGGAGGCAACCCATCAATGTGTTTTTCTCACATCAATTTTTCTCTCTGTCTTTCCCTCTCTCTTTCCCTCTCCCTAAAAATCAATGGGAAAATATCCTTGGGTGAAGATTTATAAAAACAAAAATAAAAACTAATTGGAGATGCGGACTTAATGATGGGGAATGATTGCATTCCCTTCTCCACCCATGGGCGGTAGAAGGATCAGGGGACAGTGAGAGAGAGGCCGGGGACAGGTGTCCCCATACTCACGTCACCAGGCACTCGGACAGGGCCACCAGGCTGAGGAACCCGATCCACCTCATCGTGCGTTCTCCCCGCGTCACGTCCTCGGAAGGCTCGGGTGTGGAGTGTGCGGTGATGGGCCAGCGCTGCCCATATATACGCTCTGACCTGCGCCTCATCCCCTGGGAGGGCTGCTGATGGCCCCGATAAAAAACTAACCTCCCGATAAGATCTTTATTCCCATCAGCGTTCGGATTGGGGGGAGAGGGGGGAAGGACTTAGAAAAATTTGGAATAGAGAGATCTCTATCGTCATCTCCTCCTTGGGGCATGGCTGGGGGACAAGCCCAAACCACATGTCCTGGGCGACAGTGGGGAGATGGGTGCTGGCTCGGAGGGAAAGCTCGCTAATCATGTCATAAAGTAAGTGCTGGCGACCACACTTGGCATCCTTGGTCTCATGTCCTCCTCGTAGCCACCCCGTGAGCTCTGCATCGGGGAGGAGCGTGTTGGGAGGAATGGGGGTCACCCGGCAGAGGGAAGATGGCGGGGAGCCCCTGGCGTAGGAGTGGCTTTAGGCGATGGGGCAGACGGTAGGAATCGGGGGGGCTTGAGATGCAGTCTCCTTCAGAAACTTGGGCCCAAGCAGCATTAGTCTCGTGCGACTGTGATACTGGAGGAAGTGGTGCCCGCGCGCAGGAGGGACTCATCCACCAGCAGCACCGAGGACCCAGCAGGCAGGGTTGGGCTGGGTGCTGCCGAGTTAGGAGGCACAGGTGGTCCCTGCCTCCAGGCAGCTTGCAGGCCAGGCCAGGGCTCCTGAGCTCAAGGCCCAGAGAAAAGGGAACGGAATGGAAGGGCTGGGCGGGCTCTGTGGGCTCGGGCAGCACATGCCCCATCCCATAGGGCAGCCCGGACTCAGCTTGGACGGCATAGGATGCGGGCCGGTCGGCCAAGCTTTCAAGGGGAGTCTGAAGTCTGCATATTGATGTGGACTCCCTTGATTTTTAAATGTTAGCAACTAATTAAAAAAAAAATTTTTTTTTCCCCTCAAAATCCAGCAGCTGGGGGCTGGATGCAGCTGGCAGGCTGTGCAGCGTTCCTTTCTGGCCCAGAGGAGGGAGTATAGGGGCCGGGGGGTGTTCCATTCATGGCCGAGTGGCTAAGAGGCGGAAACCCCCAACCATGTCAACCTTCCCTCCGC